GCTGAGGATTGGATATTCTTAAAATTGACCCAAGAAATACAGGGGCGTAGCCAGGGTACCTTTGATGTAGCTGAAGATCTGTAGCGTTAGGGCACAGGCACCTGACGTTACTTATTTTTCTTGTAATAAAAAATATACACATACCTAATAATATTTATCAGATCTATTAGGTAAGTGTATATTTTTTTCTTACAAGAAAAATAAGTAACCACTTAGGTGCCTGTGCGTTAGGGTTTTATATATATGTCTTTGACCATAACGCTTCAGATCCGGTAGTGCAGAAAAGTGCAATTTACGGCGCAATATTTTTGCGCTCTTGTGGGGAGAATTTCTCCTTTTTCCAGCATCGGTCAATCAACTAGCTACCTTTCAACTCCTATATTCTAGACAAGGGATCTTTAGCGTTATGGTGAAAGACAAATACGTATATAAAACCATAATGCTACAGATCTGCAGCTACTTTTGATGTGGACACCCGAGTATACTGGGACTGTCAGAATATTTTTTTTCGTGGAGCTACAGTTCTGCAGCTGATTAAAACTCTTCAAACCAGAATTGAAAAAAAAAATAAATGTAAATAACATTAATTCAAAAAGCCACTTGAATCTGCAAACGGACTGGAAAAACATCATCTGCCTCAAGCTCTGGAATGTGCATATGTGTATGTGGGCTTTACTAACGGGAAAAAAGCCTCAAGTCTTCGCAAATCAAGGAAGTTCAAAATATCAAAGCATGGAAAAGCTTGAAGGTATACCAAAACTTTTATTCATGGCATAATCATTAATGACTATTAACATACAAAGAGAGAACTTCAAGGAAAAAAATTTACAAAATGTACATGTACTACTAGCTGTGATTAAGATTAGTTATGATACATGAAAGCATATACTGCATCCACTGTATATATTATACAAGTCATATATCATATAACATCAATGTTGACATTTTATTGAACTAATTTATCGTGATGAAATTGGCAAAGGAATGTTAAACAATTTGTGTTATATATAATTAATTTATGAATTACGTGTTTTCGTAATGTAAAATACATGTACTTTTTTATATATATTGTATCTTAGACGACTTGTAGGTGAGAATTAAAAGCAAACTATGGTTTAATAAAGAAAATTTTAAAAAGATTCAATATCATAATTACTCATCATCTTTACATGATGAAATTTCATAGCTGATTAAAACAGATTAAATAAAGATTATGAAACATACAAAACCAAAAAAAAAAAAAATCAATTATATACATTAAATTTGTATTGCAGTGTCAGACCCCAGTCCATAATGTACTGTCTTTTGAAAAAATAAAAACATGTACAGAGTACTGATGAATATCCTCCTGAGGTACCTATGGAACAGGAAGAGTCGACAGCTATTAGTGTGTGCAATGCCCATAATACATGTAACTACCTAGAAAACATGGTCATAAACTCGTTGGATCTCATTACAGAGTCAGAGGTTCAAGCGTTCAATACCATTATATGTACCTTGGACTAATCATCCAGTGTGAGAACCATAGCAAAAGCCGAGTTTATAAAAAAGTACAAAAAAAAAATCAGAAATATATCATGTATGAAAAATTAAGTTCTTTATTTATATGGAACATGTTTGTATATACCATGTTTGGTGAAATTAATAAGTGGATTGAATCATATAAATATTTTGAGCCTTAATTACCTGTATGAGGTCATCAATTTTATTTTTGTTTGATGTACGAGTTAACAATACTTAACAGTGCTAATCAATTGCACAAACAAGAGAGAAATTCATTTTGTAGTTACTCAGCTAAAGTATTTCACAATAAAGATGCGTGTATCCCTTATGAATCAAACAAAATATCGTGATAAATGCAACGTAACCGTACTTTTTGTTTGAAGATGAAGTCATTTTTAAAACAACAGTTTGACAACTTCTGTACATTTTCAAACATGAAGATATATAGAAACTCTGAAAAGCATGAACATAAATCGTAGTAATCTCCATTGACCGTGCTGTAGACATCTTGGAGAACTGTCTGTTTATGTTGTGGCGCCACCTGGAGTATTATCACATTCACTGCTTTCCTGTCAATCAGCAAACATCTACCAGGTCAGACTCGCAGACTCACCCAACTCAGGAGACTTCAATGTCTTTAATGTGGTTAACCAATGAGTTTTAAGTGAATGAGATGTTAAGGTTTAAAACAAATAACGTATTGTGATCCATTCGTCGCCCGCGTGGCGCAGTGGTTAGACCGTCTGAGTCAATCCTTACGTCGCGGGCTGGAATCCCACTGTGGGACGTGGAGACTGGTCCTTCGAATGAGACCGTATAAAACCGAGGTCCTGTGACGCAATAGGTGCTGGCACGAAAAAGATACTTCCCTGTTCAATGGTCCTGAGTGCCGACGAGAGGACAAAATTTTATCTCTCCACCGGCAAGTGGTGACGTCTCTATATGAGTGAAAAATTCTCGCGAGGGACAATAGACAGTATATACAATCAATCAATACAATCATTCACTTTCATTTCAATGACATGATTATAGTGTACAGGGTAATATTCAACCAATTTACTTTTGCCAGGAAGAATTTAAAACAAAAATTGTTTCTTAAACCCATTTGTGTCTGGGTGATTTTATCATTGGGCAAATTGTTTGCGGGGTGAAAATAAAATAGGGTGAAAATAACCCTGTATACAGTATTGAAGAGTTTTCTGTCTCTGAATGGATTATTCTACATAGGTACTGCTTGCTGATTAATCTTTTAATGTCTACAGATTTGACAGGGATTTCTCTTTCATCATTTGGAGAATCTGATGCTGACTCTCTACCAGACATAGACAGGCAGCTTATGATGGGGGTGACCAGTGAAGATATGAAAACACTGAAGCAGACGGCAAACTGTGCAATACTCGACTTACTCCTCAAAAGATACAAAAGATTTTCGAGGTAAAATACATCACTCACTCCTCAAAACGACACAGAAGATTGACCAGGTAAAATACAACACCCACTACTCATAAAGATACAAAAGATTGACCAGGTAAAATACCCAATAACTTATCAAAAAGATACAAAAGATTGACCAGGTAAATTACACAACTCACTCCTCAGAAAGATACAAAAGATTGACCAAGTAAAATACATCAATCACTCCCCAAAAAGATACAAAAGAGTGACCATACCTTGTAAAAGTAAAAGGACAGGTAATGATTCCAAATAATAAAAGGAGAAGTCTAAGAGAAACAAAAATGAAAGGAAAAAAAAAGAAAAAGTTACTACAGCTTTAGCCCCCTCTAAATCAGTCCACATTAAACTAGGGGTACTGTGAGCAATGAGCTCAATAAACAATACCCCGCCACCCATATGAATATAATAGCAGTATCCATGTTTTGCTCTGGAAAATCCAAAATATATGTCAGATAAAAAAGTAAATTAAAAGGTGCACAATGGCAAGAAGTAATAAAGATTCTGTGAATATTCATTAAATTTCCTTCCGTGGTTTGAGAGGAGTTTAGGATAAGAGATAGGTACCTCAAAGCGTAACAGAGGGACAAACGGACGGACATACCGATTACTATATACCCTCCCACTTTTCAAGCGGGGGGTATAGTAAGTTATTTACCCCTTTCCCACAGCTGATCTTAAATCCTCTTCAATTGAGATCATCTAATGATCGACAGGGAACACTGGAAAATTTTATTAGGAGATTTTCGTTTTTAATTAAGTACAATTTGTGCAAGATGTCACTGCTTAGTAATTAAGAGACCATAAAAATAAAACGGAGATACTGTTAGCACTGAGTCTCCAAAATAATACCTCGTATCCCATATGATTATAATGATTAACTCCATGTCTTGGTCTGGGAGGCATGAATTAAGTGTCAATTCAAGAAGTAAAATAGGTCCAAAATGGCACTAAGTGATAAAAACAATTGTAAAAGTATTCAATTTTATTCATAGAGATATAAGTAAGAGATTGGTACCCAAAATGTGTAAGGGGCGGGCATACAGCTAGACGGATAAATATACATCCCATCACTATATAACCATCCCCCTGCCCCACTTTTTGAGCGGAGTAATTTTAAAAATATTTTAAATGGTTCATACTTAATTCATAATTTATCTGTGACAAATCTTTGGATTTATTAACCATTGTTTGTTTAGGAATACTGTAAGTCCAGGACCCACTACAGCTTTGTGGAGGCCCTCATAAGGAGAGTAAGAAGACTACTGAGGCTCAACACGGGGAGCTGATAAGTTATAAAAACAGACACAGGTGGCTCCCTATAGTGAAATGATTTATGTTGTCTTTAAATATGACTTGAAATAAAGACATTCAGAGAAAATATACTTTACATCTAGGAAGGATTTTAATGTTAAGTGCTACTGGCAGGGCAGTAAACTATTGAGCCAATATCAAATGGAACTTGACCTATTAGTATCCATGGAAATAATTTTTAACTATGTTATGTATATGTGAATTTAATTCAGATGAAAACAACTACAATAATTTTCTTTAGAATCAGATTTCTCATGATTATTTTTGGATACTACATGTTTGATACAGTAAAATCTTGTCATCTGCCACCCGGCAATGAATCCATGAAAAACATAAAATGAAGTGTTGCATTTATTTATTTATTTTGGTCAATTAAATTCCTTAGATGAATTACATATCCATGTAGCTTGATTAAGATGATGTAGATACTAATTTATGTTATGAATCTAACTGCATAAAAAATACAATAAAATCAAAACTACTTTGCAGTGAATGATACTAAGAGTCAACTTGAAAACATGTAAATAATAATTTTTTGTCTTTTGTCATGCTCACATACATGTACTCGTATATACATGGTATTTGTAATGAGATATAGAATGTTTCTTACAATTTACATCTTAATTGAGCAGTCATTTCAACCTGGGGTCGAATATTGATCAATTATTATTGAAGAATAAACTTTTATTCATATTTTCCTCTATTACTATATGATTAGTTTTGAAATATTTTCACACACACACATGAGCACTAGAAAGTGAATCTGTATCAAACAATAAGTTCTTTTGATTTTGGTTACTGGGAAAAAATATATCACAAACAGTTTATTTAAAATCATTTTATTTAGTACATGTTTTTTGATTTTTTTGACTTTACCAATGTGAAACTCAGCCACAAAGAGGTTGTCTTTAGTGTCTACACGTAAACCCCATGGATGCTGTAGATAACAGTTTTCAATGTAACAGAGGAACTGTCCTTCCTTATCTAGGATGTGGATATAGTCGTTATTACTGTCTGCTTTCAGGATCTGACTCTGACTGTCTGTTGTGATGCCACGTGGATAAAATGATCCCTTGGTAATAAAGGGATGACCAGTGTATCTAAGTCGGAGTTTTCCTGCCTGATTAACCACCACTACTTGACCGGCTCCACGGTCAGCCACACAGATAATGAGGTTTCTGTTCTCACTGATGTGTTTACTATTGTAACAAGATGAATACAAAGGTTTACTTTCACTATCAAACTGAATGGTTTACTTCTCTAAGGAGCCAGAGTAACGGACAACTTTTGATTCTTTATCACCATCATTGACCATAGTAAACAGGAGGTCACCAGGGGAGGCACTACAGACATAGTAAGGTATCCACCTCAGTGGTCTAATCACTTCCTGTATCTGTTTATTCTTCACTATGTTTACAGTTCTTGTACATTGTATTAGGGTCAGTATAAACTAGATCTCCACTCTTTGTCACGTGGTATGTTCCCAGACTTGGTTTGTATTGACTTCAGTAGTTTGCCCTGGAGGTTGTAGAGTTTCATGATATTGTCTTCTCCAGTAAATATGACAAATTGCAAGGTTTATTCCTTAAATGAAATGGCTTATACGTCTAAAAAGTATCGAAAGAAAGCTGGAATTAAACTTGCTGTTATATTACTTTTTATGATGGTCGTTCCACGTGTCCAGATTTCTTCATCACTGAGACAGGTAACACTGTGTAGATAGTTATACCCAGTGTCTATGGTGGTAATGAACTCTGGTTCATCAAGCAGTGGTTTGACTGGAGGACAGGATACATCTTCTGATGTCTTCATCGTGTAGCGATGTTCTTCTGTTGTAATGAATAATGATGCCAGAGAACCAAACATTTGATTGAACTGTTGTGTGTTGATCTGATGAGGAGAAAAACTTGGTAATGTAGCATTGATTTTAGGAGGTAAACTTCTGGACTCAGCATTCCTAGATTTGTATGCAGAGGTTAGGGAGACATCATTGGAGTCCAGTAATTTCTTTAGATCAAGTATGCACTATTTAACATCAGAAGTGGTCTGTTTGATTTTATTTTCCTGTTTATTAAGTGCAGCCAAGTGTTTAGTTTTCATCTCATCAATTTCAGATTTCTCTCTATTGACAACGATGTTAATTTCTCTGTGCCAGTCTTCTCCTTGTTTGGTGACAGCTGTTGTCAGTTTCTCATAATGTTTTTCCAAATTAAGTTTTTCAGAGTTTAAATCTAATGCAATTTCTTGATATGCAGGACATATTCTTTTTTCTAGTTCTTTCAAATCGTTGTTTAAAATTTCTTTTATAAAGCTGGGATTCTGTAAGATATTTGTTAATTTATGCCCATGATGTTTATCAGAGGAGATGCAGGTGGAACAGACAGGAATGTCACATTTCTCACAGTAAAGTTCACAATGTTTCTGGGTGTGTTTTGGACATTTTGGGTAGTTGTTCAAGATAGGAGTAGATTTTCTGTGTTTGTATGGTACGACATTGTGTCTTTTAGATGAATCAGAGAGATGCTCTCCTACACAGGCTTTACACAGGTTAATCTGACAAAGTTCACAGTGATTCTGTAATGCAGCCCTTTGACACAGGTCACAGAGGAGGAGTACTTGAGGTCTGTCCAGCTAGGGGGTCCATCATAGGGGTTTTGGTCAAAAACCAGATGACCCTGTATAAAGTAAATGGAGGCGTAGGTCACTGACTACAGAAAACACACGCAATTCAAATTTCAAAAAATGTAATACACAAGTATATAATTTTTTTTGCATTTGTGTTTTCTTTGTGACATTGTTGTACAATTCGGTTTAGAAAGAATACGAAGGATAAATTTGCTACAGTTTGAAAACAAACCCGCATAAACTTTACTTATGTTAAAAAAAATATATTACATGTATTTGGAAGAAAATGTAAACACTTGATAACAGTCAAAACAATTCATGTAGTCAGTATGTCATCTAAAGTGGTTCTCTCATGCATTTCAGCTAAAGTATTATACTAGACTTTGGATCAGTTATGACATCTGGAAAGGTCTTTTACATGTAACATGTTAAATTTTAATTATTAATTTGTCTCACCTCTTAATCCAACATGGCCTCCCTTTTAATCCCGTACATAGCAATCTACTTCCTTGTCTTCGTTCTAGATTTTTACCTGTTACCAGGTAACATGATTTAAATACCTGAAATATCTATACCGACACGAAAAAACAGAATCTACAAATGTTTGAATTTTTATCTTATGATTTTCAAAAGCAATAAAGTAAGGTTGAACTAACTTTTCATCAGAGATTTGATAAAAATTTTTTTATCTTATGATTTTCAAAAGCGAAAACGTAAAGTAAACAACAATTGCAGTTTAATTTCTAACTTTTTAATATCGACATCAGAGATTTGATTTTTAAAAGTATTTTTCAAACGTTTTTCTCTAACGTAGAGAGTTAGCTTTGGACTAAGTAAAATATGCATATGATACGTAATTTCCTGTTGAGGCGTAATGTAGTGAAATTTCGCATCAGCAACTCTCAATCACCTTTAAATTGAAAGTTTCCAGCTAGAGCAATGGAAATGCGCACATAAGCCATTTTCCCGTAGCCTTAGCATCGTTACGGGAAACGAAAGGAGAGTTTATTTTTTGAAATATTGCTGCTTTACGTATGATGAACAGTTAAAAAAATTCTTTAAAACATTTTTAAAATGTCATGTTTTTGATATCTGTTAAGCAGTACAAATTTTCTTAACGTTTGAAATCGTTCAATCAAAGTCTTTTCTTTCGGTACAAAAGACTTAACGCAAATATATATTTCCTGTTGAGGAAGCAATGTAGTGAAATTTATTATAACACATACATTCAAACACAATTTGAAAACAAAAGTTTATAACTTCCTTTTTAATACAAATGTAAATAGAAAAAACCCCTTATTTAGTGTGGTATAGCCTTACAAAACTTGGATGGCCAGGATGAAAAAAGGATAAAAAACTTTTGATTTTTTGAAAAATTGCCTTTTGCTTATAATATAATATGACAGCCTCTAAAAAAATATATATGATAAACGATTATCTAGCATATTATTACAAATTATTTTGTTGTCTTCTTCAAACATGCAATTTTTGATATTCTGTTAAGCAGTCACGTGAGTTTAAACCTGAATTTCATTGGATAACTTTATTTTGGAAATCGACAATTATTTTCAATCTCCGTACCGTTAAATTACCGATGTTTACCAAATTGAAGATATTCATAATTTTAAGATACAAAATTCTTTATTTACTTGATTATTCCCCCTAAAGTGGGGTGTTGATTTTCTTTTGCCTGTAAGTATATATCAGCCGGCGTATAGAAGTTTAAATAGATCAAGATTAAGGGGTGACATTTCCTATAATTAAATGGTTATTAAACCCATGCAAATGAAGTTTAGAATCATCCCTCTCCAGCTGTGTGTCCATAAGATTTTTTTTTTTTGTTTTTAGTGAAAATCCTTAAAATCCTTTTTCTTTAAATTTTGTAGAAAAAAATATTTAGTACGCATTATTTTATTGGATTCCTAGTGCATGTATTTTCAGATCATTTTAGTAAGTTAAAACAAAGGATGACTGCACTTTAAAAGTATATGCAATAATTGCGACAAAATACACCAAACAAGTATTTTTCTTTTATTGCAGGTACAGTCAACTTCTGACCTATAACTTAATGTTATATTAAATTTCATAAATTATAGTACTTGTATGTATTTACGAAGTACAAATCTGTTTTCAAAATGTTTTCATCACAATTTCTTGAATCTCCGTACGAAAATAAGGACGCCCACTTTTTAACTATCTTGCTAATGTACATGCGTATATTTGAAACGAAGAATTCGAAAGTATGTAGAATTTAAAAAAAAAAAGGAAATTACATGTCTGTTTATATGATTTCCTGAATGTAAAAATTCGAGGCCCTTAATAAACAATCCTTTGTGAGTCCCTCTCTGCCTCTGTAAGTTTTTTTGCACTATTAGTTTAGCTATATATAAATAAGAATGATGTAATTATGATAAATTCCGATCCCACTTTTTAGTTTAACTGATTGACCCGATGTTAAATATCGTGGTGTAACTTTTTCAGATTTTTCTCAAGCTGGAACGACTGAACTTTTTTTCCTTCGCGGATCTAAAGGGGAGTTGTGGGTTGGATTGGGGTGGTGTTGCAGATCCAGACTCCCTGGAATTTGCAGAGTTATATAATTTATTTAATAGTATTCAAGCAAGTAGCAAGTAACCTTTAACACCCCCCCCCCAAAAAAGCACCCCCACAAAAACGTGGATCTGTGTTAAGTGGGTATGAAAAGTCACCGTGATAAGGTATGAAGCATAAAAAGTTAACTTCCCCCTAAACACACATACTCACACGTAAAAGGTTCTTCTTATAATAATAGGTTCTTCTTTTTGAGTTGTTTTTTTGTTTTTATCATTTTTTTATTTTGCTTCTCTGGGTTGGATTTTTTTCATGGGATGGACCCCCCTCCCTGGAAAAAAAAATCCTGCATCTGCGTTTGTTTTTCAACCAATTTTAGTCTGTACCATCAACAGATGAACCTTTAAAGGGAAACACAAAGGGATGTTAATTACATGTACCATTGCATCAATCCAATCCAAAGGATAACATGTAACAAAGAGATAAAAATTGTTTGCAAACCGCATCCAGTGATTGGGGCATTCTGCAGAGGTGCACCAAAACTCTACAAAACAGACGGCAACATATTGAGAACTTAACGGTTATGATTTGTTTGAAAAGGATTACAATCCAAAATAAAACTAAAACATCATTTCAAAAATTGAAATTTTTATAGAAGGATATTTCTACCAATTCTTCAATCATTGCCTAGATTTAACACTGCTGAATGGTTATAAATGCCGTGTAAAAATCAAATATTGCTGCTCTCCACCGGTACATTGTGCAGTGGTTTTATGATTTAGTTATCAAAAGCACACCATTATATTTTTTTGGCTCTTAATATAATGAGTTTAAGAAAACAAATTAAGTTACATGTCAATAAATCTCCGTCTGTAGCAATAGAACTTACGACTGATTGCAAAAAGCAGTAACAGTTGATTTCTCATCATAATGACAATGCTGAGCGGTAACACTGACTTCTGTAAACTGATCATGAAAATGAAACTTATGATGACAAATATTCCTATGCACATGCGCATCAACCAAAAAAATAAATAAATGAAAAAAAATAAGTACACCTTGGTGTGTATTTAAGTACGTTAATATTCAAGCATAAAAATCTTAAAAATAAAAAAAAAAGTCAGAACGGCAGAAAGGTTATTTTCTTATTAATTTGGCTTGTTTGATTTAATTTACGGAACTAATAATGTTTTTCCTCTTTATCATTTAACAAATATTTAAAACCTTTGATGAGAGTTCTTTTTATATATGCCCCTCACAGGCACTTAGGGAATGAATCCCCTTTCCTTTCCATTTCTCTCTCTCTTTCTCTTTTAAAGAAATTTTGAAGTTTAGTTTATGTATATCTCTTTCTCTAGATCTCC